TCATGATATTCATTTACCTGGCTTTAACCCTAAAATGCATACCTTAGTTCTTAAAGGGACAGTTCACTTTGAAATTAATTTTTGGTATGTTTTAGCTTACCTCAAGGGCATCCAAGATATAGGCGTCTTTGTTTCCACAGTATTTTCAATTTTTGATATTTTTAGGTCAAACCGTTCTTGTCTGTCAGTCATATAATGCAAGTCTATGGTCACCACCTCAAAGAGCATGCACAGAGAAGTCCAAATAGGCCATCAATGTGTACTTAACATTTACGAGTCATTAAATCAGGTTTAATTTAGGCTTCTCTGTGCATGCTTTTCTAGGTGGTGACCATAGACCTCCATTATATGACTGATAGACAAGAACGGTTTGACCGAAAAATATCAAAATTGATAATACTGCGGAAACAAAGACACCTACATCTTGGATGTTCTTGAGGTAAGCTAAAACATATCAAAAATTAATTTCAAAGTGAACTATCCCTTTAAGTGGCTCGGGACGTCATTCACTACCCTCCTCCTCATTCATTAATTAATTAAAGTTAAACATTCTTAGTATTTGTCAATCAATTTATAATAAACAATATAATGCGTCACGTGTGTGGGTTTGTGTTTCAGATGAAACCGGACCATTCATTCGCACAGAAATCACGATTTTAGGCTGTGTGATTGGCTGTTTTATTAATCCATATCGAGTAAAATTTCCAGAGCTCATCATCATTATAGATTTAAATTTGATCATGATCTCGACATGTAGGGTTAACAATATCTAAGAAGTTTGGACGAGAAAGGCAAAAAACAAGACAACAAAACAAGGCATCAGTGAGAGAAGGGGTTGAAATACCTGTCCAGTGATGCTGAGCAAGACTTTGGCATAAACTCCTCTCCTGCCTCTCTGTGTGGCTTCAGTGAGGAGTTCAGGAGTCCAAACCCCTTGCCAGATCAGACACCTTCAGATAAAGTGTCCCAGACAAAACGTAGGCTGTTAACTGTCAGTGTCCCAGTAGCAAGGCACTTGCTTGGTTTCTTTTATTTTCAAAATTTCAGTTTTCATTTGAAGTTTTAGAAAATATATGTGCTTTTGTCAATTGCATTATTTTTGTTGTTGGTTATATTTCTATGTAGCTAGAATTTTTTTTCTTCAGTTTTAGTCATTTTAGAACCATTTCAACCATTTGCCAAGTTGCCATGTTTTTTTGTCATAAGTTAAGTTTTTCATCAGATTTTTTAAATTTTATTTCACGTTCATTTCATTTACTGACAACAATTTTTAATAGTTTTAACAATAACATCGGGATGGGAATGCGAATCTTCACTGTACTTGCCCGGAGTGAGGCGAAAGAGTCCCGATGACCTGTGATTTGACCTCTGGACCCAGCAGAACCTCCACAGAGATCACGGTGTCACTGGAGAAGGATGACCATTCCCCTAAACCAAATATGATCAGCTGCTTCGGTAAAGGTAACGGCATCTGAACCTGGTACATCATACGGTTGACATTTCTAAATGGGGTAAATTAAAGAAAAAAAGGTTGTCACACAGGGAGGTGTCACAAGAGCTAGATCCACAATTATACCAACTAAAAATGCTTTGTTACTCTAGCGGTGTTGTTCAGCCTACGTTAGCTTCAAAAGCCATCTTGTAAATTATGACATTTTATTACAAAGTCCTAAACAAACATGTCCATTTCAACTACACTGGCATACATTCAAAAACGTGTTAACTATATAATTTAAGTCGGCATACAGTTACAGAAGTCTTGATTGGGACTTGATTTTGTCCATGGGGAACTGATTGAATTGGGTCAATTGTTGGGTGGTTTGTAATTGGTGTGATCATGTGAGTGACTGGGATTTTTGATGTTGCTTCATTTCTTCTGCTGAACACAAAAGATATTTTGAAGAATGCAACAGTTGATGGGACCCACTGACTTACATGGTACAGAAAAACTACTATGGAAGTCAATGGGGCCCATCAATTGTTTGGTTACCTATATTCTCCTAAATATATTTTGTGTGTTTAGCAGAGAGAAATTCATACAGGTTTGGAACAACTTGAGGATGACTAAATGACAGATTTTTCCTTTTTTGGTGAACATGACGGACATATCCAACGACTCTTTTTATAATAAAAAAGATTTCTACCTTGAGAAATAAGCATTGCAGGAAAATTTTGTTACTCTATAAACCCCAAGTTCGTGTTTAATTGCAACCTGCTGCATATAAAACATCGGTCATATAGTCAGTGGATCAAATGAAAGCGCCCACCGTATAAACTGACGAGGTGCTTCACGTAAGGACCAGACGGCATAAAAGTGAACTTTGCCCATTCCGTTGTTTCAGATTCGGTCAAACTCATCCAGTGCTCTCGGCGTGAGGCCTGCAGACACTCAGTCACAGCAGCAGCCTGTCACACACAACCTCCGCTGTATTTATCACCTCCTGATTACTCCTGTGCCACAGGTGTGACCGGATAACACCAGAGTACCGCGAGAGCAGACGTGTCGTGTGCTTTTGAATCTCCTTTCGAAAAAAAAAAGAAAAAAAATTAGAAAAACGTTTTAAAAAAAATAAAATAAAAATAAACATGGTACCTAAGCCTATTTATTTATTTTAAAAAAATGCATACTACTTTTTGTGATAGTGTACTACAAAATGATAGACTAAATAAATAAATAATCGTGAATAACAAAAAAATAATAAAAATAATTATATATAATTTATACAATACAATAACACAATGCACAACACTCAGTCATGATCAATTAACATTTCTTATACTGAAAAAGCTTATGGAGTGACAGCATAAATAAATACATTAAGATATGTCATTAAAAAGGAATAATAATTGACAGCGAAATAAATATTAAAAAGTTAAGAAAAAACAAATAAGGGACACACTGATACCTGAATTAATGTATTTATTTATAATTGTCCAAGTTATTTATTTATAAAAAAGAGAAATTAGATATAATATTAATATCTGACGTACAATTATATGTGTGTAATTATATTAAATCATTAAATCATCAAAAAATATAAACAAAGGCCTTGTAAGTCGAATTATTTATATGTGTGTGTGTGTGGGGGGGGGGTTGCTTAGCGGTTTTTGTAAATTACAAATTTTCACTCTATGTCGTCGTAATTTTTTTTTCTTTAAATGTGTACATCATGTGGGAATTGTAGTTTATTGCCGACTGAGGCGGGAGTTTTTTAAAAGTAGAAATGAGTTGAACTTGAGCTCAGTGTTTTTAGAACACACTCAGGGGCGAAAATTTCATCAAAATGTTGGGGGGGACAATAAACATAACAATTCTCAAGAGCAAATTTTGAAGGGGACACCAATAATACAGGCAAAAAAATACAGAGGAAAGCCTGTAGAAAGCATGGAGACCATTTCATTATACTTCTTAAAATTTCTTTCTGGTTTAAGCCAGCGGCGAATCTGTTTACATACTCTCCTCACGCAGCGCAGCGATTTCATTTCATTCATTGACTCATTCTTTAACTATATTAAATGATATAAACCAACTAAATCACAGTGAAAGCGTTAGAATCTAAATGCACAGCGCACCCGGACTTTCTCATCAGTGTATGGCCAGCAATATTGTAATGTTTAATGACATGAAGATAGTGTCTGTTATTATTGTACTGTACAATTAAATACAATCGTTGCTGAGTCTGCGGTCTGAAAACTTTACCTCAGATCACCCGTTAACTGAATGAATTGAGAATCTCACCTAAAAAGTCCAATAACATCAGCAATTGTCATTCAAGCAGCTGATTTCTGTAAATAAATGCAAAACTAAATGTATATTGCAGCATAGGGCGAAGTCAGGATCCGTCAGCACCGATTTGAGACAAAAATAATTTAAATTGTATATAAAACTACGTAAATGGCGCTCTGTGGCGCAGCAGGGTTTTGAACACGGTCCTGAGCCGTTGCTGGGCGCCGCGGACAGTATGTGTAAACTCATAGAGAATAATGTGTTCGAATTTTAAAGACGATGCGCTGCGCGACGCGCCGCTACGCTTCTCGTCCGGTGTGCGACCTACTTTACTGGAGTTCCACAACTATTCAAACACTATGTTTTTCTCTCCCGCCACCGGAATGTGCGTGTCTGAGGTAAAAGGGACGGAGGCAGTGGACCAATGCACTGTGAGGCAAGGGAGGGGGGTCTCAAAATGTTTAGAACGCTTTTTTCGTAATTGCCCCGTTTGCATTTGTGTTATTTTATTTCTTAATTATTTTAAGAATATATCATTACATTATTTACAATACACATATTTTAATGGTTTTTTTCGGGGGGACAACCCTCAGATAGGGGGGGTCCTGACCCCCCCGACCCCCCCGCGATTTCCGCCTATGAACACACTGTCATGCGCAAGTTATAAATTACAACATGTGTTTGCTCGTGGTTTATGCGGACATGATTTGGTTTTACAATAAAAAAACAGACACCTACAGTGGCCAGGTAAACAAATGTATTTAAAGACATTCTTGAACAAATCGCAGAGCTGCCGATGACTTCCTGTTGATTTGCGCGGTCTTGCTCTGCGCGGGCGTTCCAGTAGTTCCACTCTCGTCTACGTCATTCACGATCGAAAAAATAATAATAAACAGCCGAAACTTGTACCAACCCGGAAGTAAGATTTTCGGCACAGAAATTCTCCGTTATTTGTTTTTAAACTTTGGCCATGTTTAGTATGAGAATCCATCTCTTTAACACTGTAAACAACTCTGAAATTGAATACATGAAACTCCATTGTACCGTCAAACAGCGCCCTCTATCTTAAATAAGAAAGAATGGCACTCCGTTCTAATGGTGATATGACAAGTCAGTACATTAACCTTTGTTTAAGGGGAAATGCATGTGGTCGTTCAAGAACATACAAGTTTTAATGCTGAAAAAGCACTTTTTATGGCTACTCTCACAAGGAAGCGCAGTGTATTATTAGAAGACCAGGAAGGAGCCATGAGTCTGGACAACAGGCAGCAAACTGAATTCATCTCAACGTTTATTGTGAACAACACACAGCAAAAGAAACAACAAACGAAAAACAAGAAAAGGGATGACAGACATATCATATATCATAATAGGTAGACGGGCAGAAAAGCACATAGGCAGAATAAAGTAGCCCACCTCAGCAGCACAATGCAACAGTCTCTTAAGACATGCACATAATTTAACGTACAAAAAGAAATGTTTGCAGCATGATTTGGTACTCATAATCAAGAAGTCATCAAGGAAACAAAACGCTATACCTGCTGGCAGCGCTTGTCGAGACATATTGCACGTGATATAAGCAAAAAAGCTCTTCCAATGAACTTATCTGAATCATGAAACATATACTAGAAGCAGTTTTCTAGACACCTTGGAAAAGAGGCATACATGTAAATAAAACGTCTTCAACAGGCCATCTGTATTGTGTCTATACAGACCAATGCCAAACAACCCTTAATCACGCCAGATGAGAGCCTGGGACGTGTAAATATTGGATCAGTTGAGCAACAAATGAGCTTTTGTGGCAGGAAATGGTTTAAAGTTGCAAACAAGCCGGCTTTAACCATTTGATGACTGATGAGATTGCATCTTAGTAGAGTTAGCAACTGCAATAAAAACATATGAATATGAGGTTTCAAATACATCTTAACTAGCTGTGGTCTCTGGTGTCTTTGTGCCTGAGAACACAAACTCAGTATTAGCAGTATGTAAGAAATAGTGTCTGATGCTGCTCAATGCAGGTCTATGTAATATGATATTAGACATAAAACAGCAAGAAACCAAACAAACACACAACAAAAACGTGTATATCGTTACCTGAATCAACAGTGACTTCTGCCAAGTCACCTACATTGACTTTCTAACCGTCTTTGAATTGTGTAGAATTGTTTGAAAAGCAGTCGACCCGGTTCACCACCCTGATTAGTTACTCTGTAGTCCCTGATATGCGATGCCACAGTTCTGTTGTGGTGTCAGACAATACAATTATAAAACATATATGGACCTTTTATATGAAATATATCATCTTGCACGTAACATCATAAAGCAATATATATATTTTTTTGATCTATGATAGGGCTGGGATAAAACGAAAAGCACAAATCAACAATAGCAAGAATTCTACAGCAATTGAATACATACGATGATTGTTTTTAAATAAGCACTTGATTCCTCAGGCACTGTAGTACACCCTGTAGTACAAAGTCTTATTCCGCCACAGCGAGTACGAGTTGTCAAACTTCAGCTGGTATGTGCCGTCTCCTGGGAACTCGTGGCTGCCGCCCTGCACTGCCAGATGACTGTCCTGACGGTACACAGGCAGGATCTCTCCCAAGTTCAAGTTGTTAACTGATTTAGAGCCCTTCTCCACATCTCCTGGAACCACAGGGCCTGTTTGACAAAACAATCGTCACTGGAGTTTTTCTTAGATGCATCTACTTATTTTAAGCCTTGTACAGTTTTGTAAAAATAAATCTTTAGGAAAGTCTCAAGGATGCTGCATTAAAAATACAGTTAAAACGGTAATATTATTACAATTTAAAATAACTATTTTCTATTTGAATATATTTTCAAACGTAATTTATTCCTGTGATGCAAAGCTGAATTTTCGGCATCATTAGTGTCACATGATCCTTCAGAAATCATTCTAAAATGCTGATTGGATACTCAAAGAACATTTCTTATTATAGTCAATGTTGAAAAAATGCTGTGCTGCTTAATATTTATGTGAAAACTGTGAATTTATTATTCATGCTGTTTGAATACTGAAAAAATTTAGCAATGTAAAATTGATAAATGTAACGAATCCTTGCTAAATAAAACAATTTCCTTACACTTACTGACCCCAAAATTTTGAACGATAGTGTATATAAATTATGAATGTCATACAATAATATTTACATTTATTCATTTAGATGACGCTTTTATCCAAAGCGACTTACAATTGCTATATACACTCACCGGCCACTTTATTAGGTACACCTGTCTAACTGCTCGTTAACACTTAATTTCTAAGCAGCCAATCACATGGCGGCAACTCAGTGCATTTAGGCATGTAGACATGGTCAAGACAATCTCCTGCAGTTCAAACCGAGCATCAGTATGGGGAAGAAAGGTGATTTGAGTGACTTTGAACGTGGCATGATTGTTGGTGCCAGAAGGGCTGGTCTGAGTATTTCAGAAACTGCTAATCTACTGGGATTTTCACGCACAACCATCTCTAGGGTTTACAGAGAATGGTCCGAAAAAGAAAAAACATCCAGTGAGCGGCAGTTCTGTGGGCGGAAATGCCTTGTTGATGTCAGAGGTCAGAGGAGAATGGCCAGACTGGTTCGAGCTGATAGAAGGGCAACAGTGACTCAAATAACCACCCGTTACAACCAAGGTGGGCAGAAGAGCATCTCTGAACGCACAGTACGTCGAACTTTGAGGCAGATGGGCTACAGTAGCAGAAGACCACACCGGGTGCCACTCCTTTCAGCTAAGAACAGGAAACTGAGGCTACAATTTGCACAAGCTCATCGAAATTGGACAATAGAAGATTTGAAAAACGTTGCCTGGTCTGATGAGTCTCGATTTCTGCTGCGACATTCGGATGGTAGGGTCAGAATTTGGCGTCTACAACATGAAAGCATGGATCCATCCTGCCTTGTATCAACGGTTCAGGCTGGTGGTGGTGGTGTCATGGTGTGGGGAATATTTTCTTGGCACTCTTTGGGCCCCTCTGTACCAATTGAGCATCGTTGCAACGCCACAGCCTACCTGAGTATTGTTGCTGACCATGTCCATCCCTTTATGACCACAATGTACCCAACTTCTGATGGCTACTTTCAGCAGGATAATGCGCCATGTCATAAAGCTGGAATCATCTCAGACTGGTTTCTTGAACATGACAATGAGTTCGCTGTACTCAAATGGCCTCCACTGTCACCAGATCTCAATCCAATAGAGCATCTTTGGGATGTGGTGGAACGGGAGATTCGCATCATGGATGTGCAGCCGACAAATCTGCGGCAACTGTGTGATGCCATCATGTCAATATGGACCAAACTCCCTGAGGAATGCTTCCAGCACCTTGTTGAATCTATGCCACGAAGAATTGAGGCAGTTCTGAAGGCAAAAGGGTGTCCAACCCGTTACTAGCATGGGGTACCTAATAAAGTGGCCGGTGAGTGTATGTCAGAGGTCGCACGCCTCTGGAGCCACTAGGGGTTGAGTGTCATTGGTGTCTCACAGTGGATTCGAACCCGGGTCTCTGACATTATACAGCACTGAACACATAGTTATGCAAATAATATTGCATTCCGGTCTACAAATCCTCATAAATCACTAGTCAGTACACTGTAAAAAAATATATTTTCAAGATTATTATCACAACATTTTGTCTTTTGTCGAATCAACTTAAATCATTTATTTAGTTCAGATAACTTATTATTTTGAGATTATTTTCTGATGATTAAATCAATCTCCTTCATTGTATTTAACTCACTTTTTCCAGTTAAATCAACTTAAAATTTTAAGGCAACCAGGTTACTTACTTTAAGTTAAACCAACAATATTTTTTTTTACAGTGTAGTAGTCCAGTCTGGCTCTGTTTACACAGCACAGGTTTTCAGAGAATGAGCTTGTGAGTGAGTGAATAAAGTTTACGGGTGCGAGTTAACCGTATTGTGTGTGAATGCAACCGTATTAAGGACTCAAATATAGGACTGAAACAGGGCAGGAAGTACTCTCACCTTCTAGCTCTTCATCTTCATCCTCATCGTCACTGGATTCGCTAACGTGAACAGTAATGGCTCGGTTAGTGACTGGTGACCAGTCGAAGTAAACCCCAAATCCAATGTCATAGCCATCTGTGGCAAACTCCCAGCACACTCGCTTGGCCTCAGGAACAACGGGTACGTGGACGGTCATAATGTCTCCGCGATATACCGTCACCACACTGTCCTTCTCTTGACGAAGCTTAGTCTTCAGCTCCTTCACTGCCACAGAGGTCCACGTGGAGGCCGGTTTCATCGGAGGAAGAGCTGCAAAGAGAAAAGAGACCCATCAATGAATATTCTTTCATTTTAAAGAGTAACTAAACACTTAACCAACTTTTTTTAGTTAATGATCTGTAAGAATGGATCTTTATTAATACCAGTCATTGATTCGAGTAACTTTTTTGACATTTGTTTATAAAGTGTTCTATTTCTACAATATATGGTGTAAAAACGTCTTAGTGCTGCCCTCTTCAGGTTGAACGGTGGCTACTGCAGTTGAATTTTCCTATTGGATGTTCCGCACTTCGTGACGTACGCAGGTTTCAGCTCACCACGCGAGCTACGCCCTTGGTAATATAAAAACCATCTTGTGTCATCAAAACCACTGTAGGGAGTCAGGAGTTGGAATTGTGAGTATTGAAAACGATCAGGATAGAGTGTTTTAGCATCTATTTTGTCCCTTCTATCTCCGCTGGGGTCAGCCCACTTTTTCAGCATTCAGCTCTGACCAGGGGTTTAGTTACCCTTTAACACCTTGGGAATATTTGCACAGTAGTGCATGTATTCAAATCAGCTCAAAATCCAAAAAAAGTTTTTACATTGTGACTTTTTAGTACAATTAAGCACATTTCCGCTAAAAATTCTCAATACCTGGATACTTTTTAAAGAAATAAACTAAACTATTTAAACTGTATATATTATTGAAAATTTGGAATATTTTTGTATTTGAGTTATTTAAATGTATACATTAATAAAAAAATTATTTCATTGCAATATTCCACAATGAAGTTGCTGCATGACTGCACATTGGTTCACCTGCCAACAACTTAATTATAAAACAATTTACTTAAATGCAAGACCTTAAATTGCTTACTGTTTTTATAAACTACGTACACAACTGCAATTTGATAAAGGCAAACTAATTTAAATAAATAACGATTTAATTAATTTTATTATCACCACTGTTGTTTTTATAATAATACTAATAATTATTATGAGTAGCAACAATAAGGTCATGGGTTTTTAATATTATTCCTGAGTATATCGAATATGTTTAAGATAAGTTTGTACAATATTTTCCTTCATATTTCAGTCATATTTTCTGCAAAGATATTTGTTTTACATTTACACCATGTTGATCACTTTAGGTATGGAATAGAACTTTTTTAACCAGACGGTTAATAAAGAGAATTTTACTTGAATCATATTGTAGTTGACTAATTAAACATAAAAATAAATAAATTAATTAATTAAAAAAAAAATAAAAAAATCTAGATTTTTGTTTTTGCCACATTGCCAAGCCTTATGGTAAGGGGTGTGATATTTCCGAAACACGCTGGAAGCGGTTGACCAATCACAACACACTCATCCAGCTGACCAATCAGAGCACATTGCGCTTTCAAAAAGGAGGAGCTTCATAGAGACAGGAACTAAACAGAGCGTTACTGACGGACAATGTAAAAATAATTGCTGCGTCCCAATTTGCATACTATTATTAGTACAGTAAGGGCTCTATGCACGGCGGTATTTCCGGTGAAGGTGTAAGGATGCTCGATAACTTCCGCCGATCGTAGAGTCCAATGCAATACCGAGAATTTATATTGAATTTTATACTCCATGGTTACACTAAAGAAACGTTAGTCACAAAAACAGATAAAACAGACACTCCTTGTTGTGTTTATGCTTCTTTTTTAAAATTATATTAAATAAACATAACTATATATAAAATTACATCTAAATGTATGTACACTTCTTTTCGTTTAAGACTTAGTAAAAGGGCATAATATGGCCTCTTTAAACAATAATGATGTGCACGAATAAATCATTTATAATAAATACTGCAAATTCTATAAAAAAAAGAAAGAATTGTCCTTTTTGATTGCAAGGTGAATATAGAAATGATATGTGTGGCATAGTTATTTTTAAAGGTTATAAATAGCACACTACAAACATCTTTCTTTTTTCTCACAGCTTCGATCTCGAGGGGCAATGATGAAACATAATGAGAAGTTTTCAGTGCTTATCTTCACCTCTCTAATAGGGGATGTGCTAACCTTTTTTCTCCCCGGAGTGTGATGTACTGCTCTCCTGTGTGTCACTCGCTTCTGCCTTCCCCAGAGATGCGCTGGGCTCCTATTGACAACAACACAACACATACAATCATACATACTGTACAAGAAGAGCACTAAAGCTCACTTAGTTATACACCGGACTGGCTTGAATGAATGCAATATACCTCAGGAGACTGTGGAGATTCTTTGTTATTGCTGTTATCGTCCATTTTGCTTCGGTTGTCCGGTTGGATTACTGCCTGGGAAAGGTCTGTGCTTTGAAGTCTTCAAAATGACAGTGGGAAGGATGAGGTTTAAATACCCTTGAACCCTAAAATAATTTTTTTTGAAAAACTCATATAAACATGCACAAACCTGTTTAAAGGGTTTGTTTCACAGTTTTTTGACGTTATACCAGGGAAAGAAGAAACAGACAGGGATGAGAGTCTAGATTGAAGCTCTGATGTCTCTAGTTTCTCCATCTCTACGCACAAAAAAAACACGACATAGCTACATAAATCATCACAATCATCACAATACTCAATAAAAACTCACCTGAGTCAGGTAAGAGTTTTCAGTTGACGAACTGCCTTTCAATGAACTTCATTTAAAAAATGAAACAAAATCTACAAGAACAAATAAAATTGGGTTTTTAGCAATACATCTGTCAAAATAAGTGACAGATTAACAACATTTTGTGCGTACTCGTCAATAGTTGACATTTATACGAATCACAGCAACAGTTTTGACACGTCGCGAAACTGAAGTGTAATTCGCATCAATCTCAGCAGAAGACAAAAAAAACTGCATAAACCGCATTTACATTCAAATCAAACCCACCGTAAGTGGTAAACGTACACGTACAGTGTTATTGTTTCCTAATATATGTTCATGCTCTTACCTACGGCGACCCTGTGATGCTGTAGAAGCAACAGTGTTGCTTGCTTGACCAGTGCTTGAAGTTGACAAATAACGTTTAACGCCCAGGAAGTCCGTTAATTTGTAAATACGTACTTGTGTGTGTGAAGGCAGAGGAGACAAGTCTTTCTGGATGGCTGCCAGACAAATATATAATAAAAGTCCTTTGAAAAAAAATACTATAACCAGTGCATAAAAAGCTACGTTTGTTAGGAAATTTTAAAAGAAATTAAGAATTTACTTTTATTAAGCAAGGATGCATTACATTGATTAAATGTGACAGTGAGTGAATATATTTATAATGTTAAACGATTTCTGTTTTTAATAAATACAATAACCTATATAAATATAGTTAGTATAGTTAAATATATATATTTGTGCATAAATTATGTATATATATTTATTCACACACACACACACACACACACACACACACACACACACACACACACACACACACACATTTATATACAAATTGACAATTATCATTGGCGGAAAAGAAAGATTAAAAATTATTTTTGTCTGCATATTTTACTATTAATTTAACTTAATCGTAATTAACTGAATATCACAGAGTGCTGCAGTGCTGAATCCCAGCATAACTGGTTCAGCTGTACTGCCACACATAATAACAGCCAAGCTGATATTTAGCACTACAGTACCCATGCTTATATTTGAATAAATAAAGGTTTATTCGGTTACTAAACATAAAACAGAATATATATATACGTATATATATATATAGACGTATATATATATATATATATATATATATATATATATATATATATATATATATATATATAGACGTATATATACGTCAAATTCATTACAAACAAAACAAAAAAGGTAACCGAACAGGTGTAGGCTGAAGCCGTGGCTTGTTCCTACAGCTATATGACATTATAAAAAATATATATATATATATTAATCTGTCATCCTTTTGTATTATAATTCGTACTGTCACACTAACTTTGGCCCTCTGGTGGTTAAAAACAAAACTGCATGCATTTTGAGGAATAATAGTTTTGTAGTTCTGCATGACGACTATATCGAGTATGGTTCAATATGATAACCAGTTTAGATGGAAAAGATCTCAAACTGAAGACATTACTGTAGACTTACCCATTAATAATTTGAACACTTGAAAATAAATTCTAGCACAGCGCTACAACAACCATAATGAAATGACCCTTCACAGTATAGATGATGCTTTACAATGAACTCTGTTAGAGAGCTACATATGGCAATATATCTGTTCAATAAAATGCTTTACTAAGCCTGGTCCTAACTGCTAAGTAGGTCTTAAAGGGTTAGTTCACCCAAAAATGAAAATTAAGTCATTAATTACTCACCCCCATGCTGTTCCAACCCCGTAAGACCTTCGTTCATCTTCGGAACACAAATAAAGATATTTTTGATTGAATCTGAGAGCTAGATCAGTCCTAGATCGACTGCCTAAGGGACTGGCTCTTGACGGCCCATAAAGTCATTAAAGAAAAGGTTTAAATATTCCATGTGCCTACAGCGGCTCAATTATAAGTTTATCAAGCGACGAGACTACTTTTTGTGCGAAAAAAACATAAATAATGGCTGTATTCGACTATTCAATTACTTCCTTATTGGCGCATGCGCGAGAACTGAGATGAGGACGTTCTCATTCGTCTACTTCTTGTTACCGGCTGCTCACCGCTTAGGAGTTTTACCCCCCCCCCCCCTACCGTATAAAATGATGATATATATAAGGCGCTCTGGATTATAAGGAACACTGTCGTTTTTTGAGAAGATTAAAGGCTTTTAAGTGCACCTTATAGTGCGGGAAATACGCAAATTAAAAAGCGTATGTACAGCGCGCATCTTCCTCTGCTTGTAAACAGAAAGTTTTGCGCTTCCAGCTATATCAGCACATCATCTTATACGGTAGGGGGCGGTAAAACTCCTAAGCGGTGAGCAGCCGGTAACAAGAAGTAGATGAATGAGAACGTCCTCGTCTCAGTTCTCGCGCATGCGCCCATAAGGAAGTAATGGAATAGTGGAATAAAGTCGTTATTTATGTTTTTTTCGCACAAAAAGTAGTCTCGTCGCTTGATAAACTTATAATTGAGCCGCTGTAGGCACATGGAATATTTAAACCTTTTCTTTAATGACTTTATGGGCCGTCAAGAGCCAGTCCCTTAGGCAGTCGATCTAGGACTGATCTAGCTCTCAGATTCAATCAAAAATATCTTTATTTGTGTCCCGAAGATGAACGAAGGTCTTACGGGGTTGGAACAGCATGGGGGTGAGTAATTAATGACTTAATTTTCATTTTTGGGTGAACTAACCCTTTAATTAAGACCAGTCTTTAGAGTTGACCTGTAAACCCTATAAAACACCTGTTGAGTAATAAAAACACCATCTCCACGTCGCTTTGCCACATTTCAAATCCCTCAGTCCTCGCCATCTCTGAAAAGCCAAGCCAATGTTGATGCTTGTTTTATTACAACCTCTGTCACAATCTTTTTTATTATAATTTTTTTGTTGCCAGCAGACTCTCCTTTGTTTGACGTTTGTTTAAAACGGGTGATTCCCCAGAGGTTCGAAATTTAGTGGCTCAATGTCAACCTTTCTATCAGTGTGACAACTAACCACACCATACAAACGTCAAAGTAGCCGGAGAAAACATATCGACAGGTCTAAAATATAAACTTATAACAGGCTTCCAGTGAAAAAAAACAACATGTTTTGAAAGAATGACTGATGATGTATTGCTTTATTTAAATTTTGTTAATTTTGAACAAAAAAGTTACATAGTGTACCTTTGAATCACTCTACAATTTTTTTTAATCTTTGGTTGCATATTATTATTGTTCTAGTAATCCTGGCACATTAAAATGTACTTGAAAATTTGTCCTTGTGTGTAAAACAGAAATATAGCAGTAATGCAGCAGGGATTCAGCTGAGCTGACATACTAACTTCTCCCCTGAGTTTAATTAGCACTTATTTTAGAGACTTACAAACATCTGCACACAACAGATTGAACATGAACACAGAAATGTACACAATGAAACTAAAATGTCGCATAATTGAATTGATTTGTCTCAGTGAACAAAATGACGTCCTATCCTTATTCTAGGTTTGAAAATACATTGTAGTACATGACTGAAATGCAGTCTCGCAAAGCTTCATTTCTCAACACCAAATCAGTCAATGGAGTGTCTTTAGTTTGTGCGTCAACCAAATTGATCCACGGAAAAAGCCTGTAAAACAACAGAGATGACATGTTATGAACAAAATGATAAAACTTGGTTATATGAATATGAATCAACTTCTATGGAAAAGGGTTATTATTAAACTAAATGAATATTAGAAATGTTGCCTTGGGAATGAACTGAAATTAGTTGAAGCACTAAACTTATTAACTGATAATGAATAAAAACTATTATTAAACTAAAACTTGAATAAAAATAAATCAAACCTAAATAGCAATATAAAAAAATAAAAAACAACAACGAATAAAATGATAAAACACATAATAAAATAACTGAAGTTAGCATGCAAGTTAAAAGTGTACAAACTAATTAAACTAAAATAACACAGAATAAAAAAAAAGCTTTACTCACTCATCGGGTTTATTGGGATCAGATGCACAGGGCGAATTTACAAAACTGTGATAAGTAAATGTGTTTGTTGAAACAGCGGTCTCAAACAGCCCATTTAGCAGGAGAAGAGTCTTTCCGGAGCCCAGTTTGGCAGCCGAGCACATGTTGAGGAGACCGTAGAGCAGAGCTGATACCCATCTCTGATCCAGGAACAGGCCACCTTCAGCAAACACTCAACGTTTACTTAATGGACTCTTATATACCAGAACCACACTGTGTTGACTTCACATGACAGATGGACACAGACATATTTTGAAGGGAAATAAAAAGACACGTCACATATGTTACATTTACTACTACAGAATTAACAGTAAATTATGCATAATTACATAGTAACTTGCACATGTAATTAAATTAATATTGTGAGTACTTAAATGTATAATTACACTGAAACAAGTCACCAAGTCAGCGCTCACCAAGGATGCATTTATTTGATTAAAAATACAGTAAAAACAGTAATATTGTGAAATGTTATTACAATTTAAAATAACTATTTATTTTATTATATTTTATTTTAATTTATTCCTGTGATGGAAAGCTGAATTTACAGCATCATTACTCCAGTCTTCAGTGTCACATGATCCTTTAGAAATCATTCTAGAAACATTTCTTATTTTTATCAATATTGTAATTTTGTGAAAATAAATGTTTGCGAGAATGCTCATCTCATTTGATGAGCTTCGTATGATGCATTCTCATTAATAAATATAATGTTTAAAAGAAATGCATTTATTTATTAATAATTTTTTAAAAACATATATACTTGGATATTACTATTTTATATTTTTAAATATGACAGATTTTTGACTGGTTCATCTAAATATGTTAATATTTATAACAATTATAAAAATGTCTTCATATATTAATATCTGTAAAAATGACAGATGTGTATAAACGTTTTAAAGGGGAAATACAAATGTATTATCAAGGATACTCCCATAGTTTCTACACACCCTTCATCGAAAGAGGAAGTGATGCCGAAAGCACTTCCTTGTCCTTTAAAGCTGCGGAAACTTGATTGTGGAGGAGCCAAATTGTAGTGACATCATCACAAGCCACAAACTCATACTGAGGTTTAATAATAAAACTGTGTTCAAGAAGCATTGCAAGCCTGAAAAAAAAAAAAAATGATTTGAGAAGATTATAAGCTGATGCTTAACAATTGTGTGACAATAGTGTGGCTAAATTTGAAGTTCAATAAATTAACATTTACATTTTGGGCTAACAGAAATGTTTTATTGTAAGTTTTCACTCAAAACCTAAGTTCTGGAAGTATAGAGTGCAACAGTTCCCTCTCCCTTTTTCAGGTTCCGGAAGTATCTTTTCCATTCGTTTATAGGGATTTTAAAAGAGTCTTTGTTAAAGAGTTATAAGCCATAAACCAAGCCAATCAGCTACGAGGTGAATCCCAACAATCCAAACTTTAATATATATGAAGCAAAAAAATTGGACAAAAAGAGAAAGGTACAAAAATATGTACTTAACAGCTTTAGTAAGGGAAATAGAACTACAATCCCATGAAGCATTGCGAACAGCATGAGAGAATTAAAAACTGTGGGGAAATATAAATCTATTTACGAATTTTGATTATATGTATAAAAACAATGTATTTTAAGTTTATTGCAAAATATGCATACACAAACATTTCAGTATTTTGAGAGCGTAGAGAGATGGACGTCATTCGCAGTGCTTCATGGGAGTGGGTGGAGCTAAAGTGATCTTCTTTCAACTCTCTGATTGATGTCATTTTCTGTACAGCATCATGGGTAATGTAGTTTTTCACCAGGAATTCAGCTGGTCCAACATGATTATTTTAAAACTAAGCTAAAATAATTCAGGCTGACAGCTTCAGCAGAAACAAATAGAGGTGTCTTTAGAGTTTTTACATCGGGAACCGACTGCTGCACTCTATAACCAAAATCTGACTGAGATTCAATCAACAAACAGGAAATTTAACTTATTCCGTAATAAGTGACTGCCGATTTTATTCAAAATAAAGCTTATAATCTGAAGTACCTGTTCAATGGCACTGCTGAGGTGAAACTGTACACAAGACAGTCTGAAGACAGATGGCAGCGAATGTCTGAGCATATTTGAGGAAGATGAGAGGGCAACACACAGAGGAAGAGCATGTCTGCCCATTTAACCAGTCTAATGTTGTCAAAGTAACACTCAACACCAATGTTTGAAATCTCCCCTGTGGATCAATGAAAGAAAAGACCAAATTAACCACCAGTAGATCTTGATGAAATCAATTAGGGCGCACCAGTCCTACACAATTCAATTGTCAGATGTAAAAACGAACTGATTTTAATCTTAATGACAACCAGGCTTGAGAGGGTTTTTATGACATGTGAAGCATTAGAGTGGAAACTGCTCCTGACTGCATCAATAATCACCCTGACAAGAGGACGCCAGTGGGTCGCAGGCGCTGGATCTTCACATGTGTTTATACAGATCAACACAATTACCTCACCATGTTGTAAGGACTATGAGAACTTATGTATGTGTAGTTAAGCAGATATGATTAAAAAAATAAAAGAATTCCTACTAAAGATATTTGTGCACTGTTTCATTGACATCTTTTAATAATTTAGGGAACAGAATATATGCAACAAGATGAATTTCTACAGTCTTTTAATAAAAAACTGCTTCTGAGAGCATTTAGACTGCAACATATTTGGGGTCATTATAAGAATGTTAGCCTCTTATTCTGACCATGGCTGCATTTATCCAATTAATCGCGCTTAATTGCATCTAACATGATGTTTTTTGTTTATATAACGTTATATATGTGTGTCAGTGTTTGTATGTAGGCTATTATCATTATATTAAACATATTATATAAATGTACACACACTGACACACACCCATTTATGTGTGAGTAAATAGTTAAACTGTACACATTTCAGCGGTTAAAAAACAAATGTGGGTCACTTTACAATGCAGCTGATACTCAGAGCAATGTCTGAAGAACAAATAATGTTGAAAGAAACAAAAAAAAGTATCGTTTCCCTCCATCAAAATGACTGTATGGACCACACTGTAGCCTACATCTATACTCACTAACCTAAGGTCTCATGTGTTTTAGTTGAGATGTTGATGTCGGATGGCTTGAGGTTGGATGAATGCAGTAAAAGCTTTGCCAGCTGTTTGCCCACGTGACCTCCACCCAGTATGCCAACAGACAGATGTGTGTTTACATTGCTGCCATTCTCAGCGTTCAGTTTCTTTCTGTGGGAAAACGTACATGACAGTCGACAGTAATAATAAGTAAACAAAAAAAGCCGTCTATATGGATATTATTCATGAGATAAACAACATTGCTCGACCACTCTTACCTTAACAATCTGAAAAGTTCACAGACGAATAAAGCATGCGCACATCCACTTACGGTCAGCCCAGCAGATCGACTGCGCAGAAAAAGCAATTCTTTCTCAACTTCACTGAGTCCAGCCTCAAATCCGAGAGAGTTTAAGTTAGAAGTGAGGTCCAGCATTTTATTAAAACATTTAAATCGGGACTCGTTAAAGTTACAGATTAAACGTCATAAACAAGTCCGGTTTCTATAGTTACTGGTTACGTGAAACTACAATAATTTACGTCAGGTTTTCAAAATAAAAGTCGCAACGGTAAAATTGGCAATTTATTCAGAATTTAGAACATTTAAATATAGAGACATTTCATGTTCGGAGACCTATGCTGACATGCTGAATGAAAATTTTATTCATAGCAAGTTTATAAAAATAAAATATAAAATAATTCCAAATGATAAAACAACAACAACAAATAAAACAGAAAAAAACACTGTACAAGGCATTTATGATACAAATAAAAATTAACACAAATAATTACAGTAATGTACAATGTCCCACCCTATAACATTCTTTTGTACACTGTACATTTAACTTCATAAATTGTGAACAATATTCCGTAAGAAAAAGATAAATAAAAATGATACAGATGCAAAACTGTAATCACCATGTATTGTTTTTTTTTCCTCAGACTATTACATCACTACTTCAGCCTTTGGAACATTTACAACTTGCTAGTTCTGTTCATTGTACTGTCAGGTCAGTTCATTGCCATAATAATAATGTGCAGTTTAGATGTTCGATTCACAAATGCATGGGAGGGAAAAAGTTGAGATCCAACAAGAAAAGAATCTCAATGATGTGAAAATTTGTTTTGGACGGTCTGCTAGACTACAGTATACTAGACACTAGCATACTAGCATTTCACTAAACGCTAAATAGATCGGTCATTTAACAGAAGGCAAAGGGGTATGTCAACTAAATGGAAAAACAGCATTTCAGGGTGTCCAGGAAAATTCTGTTGCTGTTTTTTTTTGTTATTTAACAATGATCCAATGAACATAGAACATAGCCCGTAATCTCATTTGGCCAAAGGATTTATTGCAGTGATGGTAGAAAACAGCTGTTTTAAGGTGACTGATTTCTTAGGGCAGAGTGAAGACTGTAATTCCAACTGTAATTAACTAATTATCTAATTAAAGTGATGCTATTTTGGGTGGATCTTGCTACTAATGCCTTTTCTTTAATGAGAAATAATCAATATTTGTAGTGTTCCACATGCTGGTCAATCACTTACACCAGCATACACATAAACGCATATTAACCAGCCGAGGATTGAGTAGGTACATAAACGTTCTCTCTGCAAGTGCTGATATAAAGTTAAAACAGGTAATGAGCTTAAGAGAATATGTTTAAAACAAACCAAAGGCAAAACAAATATGAAGTCCCTATTTACAAGCTGACAGTACTTATCAGGCGACAAACTCCAGGTACTGTGTATATGAAAACTTGTAAGCTGTATTTATTGTACATTGCGGCATTTTGTTATTTCTCTCTAGCTCATGCAAAGGGTTGGCATTCTATGGGAAGTGTAAGTACAGCATTTTACAAGCGGAAAAGGAAGACGGCTGTGTAAGTTAATGCTCCAGGTTTTGAAGGAATTAGATGCATGCTTTAAAAAAAATAGGTATTATTATTCTTAATGAACTATGAAACAAAAATTCAATATGAGTGGCAAATGGCAAATTGCAGACAAAAAAAATGCTGAGGTTTTAAAACTTTCATTCGAATATATCATGTGGCACATTCAATAAAACCATGTTTAGACACTGATATTGGCTAATGAATTAAAACTAATTAAGAATTAAGAAATTGTAAAAATATTGCAATTTTAAAACCTTCCCTTTTAACATGTTTTTGACTGATCTTTTATATTGTAAGCGAGGAGAGTAGTCATTTTTTGATATGCAAAGAGAGAATCTGCAGACTTCCTGCTTGGAACCTGTAAAATGGGTTGATAAATGCAAATGTTTGATGGATCTGAGAGTATTCTGAGAGGAAATCAAATTAACTAATAAATGTAACATTCACAAAATGCAATCTAGTGTACAGAAATTTGTAAATGGTCCAGTTTTAAGGACGTCTGTAGTTTTTTAGGTATAGTGGGAGTGGATTCTGTTTGCAAATAACCAGTAAAAAACTAAGTGTGACTTTCACTGGAAACGGTAAAAAAGCTGTGAGATACAAGAAGCACTACAGAAAAAATACAAACAAAATAGTTTGTGACTCTAGATTCTGAAAGCTTGAGCCTGCCCTATACAGTATATATATATTTCAAAGCAAAACTTCCTTAGGCACATTGAAGCACAAGAACATTTTTTTTGTTGTTGATTGTTTCAGTGGTCACCGTTTCTTGAAAAAAAAAAAAAAAAAGAAAGTAAAAGAGTATGGAAGCGTATTGCATTCACTTGAAGAAAAAAATCTATTCCGTTTTTCTGAATTAATGAGTTAATTATCTCAGAATTACAAGATAATTTTTCATGTAAAAAAAAATTTGCTCTGTTTTTCTGAATTAATGACTTGATGATCTCAAAAACTCAGTCGAATTTTTTTTCTTCAAGTGAATGCAATACACTTCCATAAAAGAGAACTGGCTTTCCCCTTGCAAACTCAGTGAGGTCAGAAACAGTCTACGCAAGTACACAGACGCAAATGATTGGCAAGACCATTTTAAGTGCATGGTCCCGTTGTACATAATTGAAGGTATGGTTCACTTTACTCATACTCATATCGTTACAAACCTGTATGACTTTCTTTCTTCAGTGGAACACAAAAGAAGATCTTTTGAGGAATGTTGGTTACTAAACATCTTTAGTTACCATTGACTTCCATAGTATCAAAAAACAAAGAAAAAAACCCCACTGAGATATTTTCTTATATATAAAAAAAAGTCCTGAAAATGAAGCCAAAGAATTTTGTTCGCCCCCTGGCTGCAGTGCAGGTCATAAACCCCAACCTCTCCATGTAATCGAATGGGACGCGAGCCAAACTAAAAAATCCAGAGATGGTCAAAGATGGTTTTTGTCATTTTAGGTATTTCGTATCATGCAGAAGTACTCTATGTACACGTGTTTGTTTTTAGTTAGTTATTTGATGCTTTAAAAACAAGATCTTACACCATGATTGACAGCTGTGCTTGTGATTCAGTCTGAGGGCGTTTGATACCGCTCTCCACCTCAGGATCAGCTAACTTTGAAAGCTAACTCTTGTAACCGTTGCACGAGTAGTTGGCATGACAGTAAATCCTGAACGTATAGGAACACCAATGACTGAATTTTAGCTTTGTTACTTGCGTAGACTATGTTTCAGGCCACTTGATAGGGTTAATGGTGGTATGATCTATCAGTGTACCTGCCACTGCTCGGAGAGCGCTGCAATGCATCAAAGCCCAAAAAAATAACATCATAAATACTATATTACAGCTGAGCTTGATGCAAACCTTATGTAATTCATGAATGCATACAATCATCTTCATTAATGCTCTGGAATGTTTGAAAAGAAATGAAACTATAAAATACAAAAGATCCAGCCAATCACGATCATGTATAACCTCCCACGTTCTGAAACTAACTTTAGTGTTCAAAGCAGGATCTTAAAATTGAGGCTATTGATGGAGAGAAAATAAAGTTGCAAAAACCCAGATGTGTGGCGGAATAAGAATCAAATGTTTTTAGCTATATGTAAATTAGGACATTTGAAACCCAAATGCCCCAGTGTTTAAACCCTGTGGTTGACTATCTGCTCAGCTTGCTTGAGCACCTGAGCTCGCGGATGCCGGCTTTACCCCGTTGGGTGTGAATGGCGGCGGAGCGGGCCTGTCTCCCGCAGCATCCTTCCTGTGTGTGAGGATGAGGGCGGCGCAGAGGAGGCGAGCCAGAGAAACTGGGAGGAGAGCGGCTGCGGGTCGGACAGCCCCCGCGATGCTCGTGGCGGGACGGGGAAGAGCTGATGGAGCGTTGCAGTGAGGAGGAACTGCGGGGGGAGGCGCTAGAGCTGCGCTGGTGGAGGTGGTGAGCGGAGATGGGACTGACGTACACATGCCTCTTGTCCACGTGCTGGGGGGATGAGCAGCTGTGGTGCGGAGAGCCACGGGGCGAGCTGGCATGCATTAGCTGGGCCAGACAGGTCAGCAGGTCTGAGTCACTGCTGCCGCCGGCAGGAATCCTATACCGCCGGTGCCTGGAGGAGGACAAGGAAAAAAAGGAAAACAATGCTATAGCATGAAATAAGAACAAAAAGATTGCCTGAAAAACTCTTCCAATTATCAAAAAGAAGCCAATTTTTAAATACTACCCCGAATACCTAAGCAACCGTTCAAAATGCCTTAGCAACCCCCTAGTAACCATCGAGAGCTCTTTAGCAACCAGTTAATTAGTAACCACCCAAAACAGTGCCAAGCACCCATCATTTTAATAAATGTCTAGCAGGTGATTTGGGTGGGTCCTAGAGGATTCTGGATGCTTGTTAAAGGGGTCATATGATGCTATTTTCAAGGATCATTTTTTGGTGTATGTATTGGGTGTAATAGATTAGAATACATTTCCATTTAGATTTATTCATTTAGCTGACGCTTTTATCCAAAGCAACGTTTCTTAAGCTACGTCCTACCTCGTACGCCGACTTCGTTGCCGGAAGTCAGACATTTTCATTTATAAAGTTTTAAATATCTATATTTTTACGACAATACCGCACGGATTACCCTCAGAAGGCCTTTGTTTATCCCACTGGAGCCGGATGGATTACTTTTGTGAAGGATGTATGCACATTTTTAGGACTTGAAGGAGCTGGACCCCTATTTCTTCACATTATATCCACTGAAGGGACAAAGACATTTTCTAAAATAACAGAAAATGTGTTTGTCTGAAACAAGATTGACATATGCACCTCGAACGGCTTGAGGGTGAGTAATGCATGGGTTAAATATAATTTTTGGCCGAACTATCCCTTTAAGTGTCTTGCTCAGGGACACATTGGTGTCTCACAGTGGATTCGAACCCGGGTCTCTCACACCAAAGGCATGAGTCTTATCCACTGCCCCATCACCACCCCTTTGTTGAATATGTTCACTATCACATGCTCTAATTAAAAAAATAAAAAACGTTATTTTTCACAAACTGTACATTATTGTAGCACCTCTACGCCCAGTCTTTCTAAAACGCTTCGATTTTTACAAATCCCCAACTTATGAAAAGCGCAGTGTGCTCTGATTGGCCAGCTGAACCAGTGCATTGTGATTGGCCGAACACATCAAGCATGTGTCGGAAATGTAACGCTGTATCGAGTTTCAGCTTCCAAAGCAATTATAAAGACAGTTAATAATGTTGTAAGTTTTACAGTATAATTTCGAGCTCGAGTCAGATTCTGAAAATGCAGATGATCCATAGACATATACACTAGACGTCACCTTGGGGTTCTAAGCATGCGTCAAAACTGCCGCCATCTTGGAACAGGGGTCTTGTCATCGGAAGAAGCTAGGTAACGCTGCTATCTCTGCCTTTATTTGAATTCAATGACGGTGGCGGACGTTTGTGCAGCGTATGATGTTCACAGATGAAATCTGAACTAGGAAGAATGTTTTTTAAAAAATAAATAAATAAAAAAAAATTCTGGAATCAATGATAAATACATGTCTGACCGTTGGAACAAACCAAAAAAAAAAAACGAGAAAAATCGCATTCATGATGATTTATGGTGATTTTATTTCTGTTAGACCTGTATCTACATGGACGCTGATGCATTAAATTGGAGGGGCTCCCCTGTTTCAAGATGGCGGCTCTATTGACGCATTCGTTCCAATGAACTGCCGTGGCCAAGGTGACATGTCTAAGCAGATGATCAAGCCGTTCAATCGGAACCAACTTTGCAACTTAGCGCGACTTCAGCAGAACGTTTCACAGTGGGAAGTTTTTAATTTGAAACTCTCTTACTTTTCAGATACAATTTTATAACGGTTTAATTGGTCTTCCTCACTGTAACAACTTCACGTCCTGAAGTGATAACATAAATACAGTTTAAAAACATACGGGTGTAGCTCAAAGGGCGCGTGCTGCTTTAGTGGCCAGTGTGAGACATCTATGTTTGTCATATTTTCACTACAAGTAATGAGCGGAAAACAGAGGATCTATGTTTGTAAATATAAATCGATCTCTGCACTTTCGATCATAAGAATTACAAACAATAGGCATTAATCTACACTGCACAAAATGAACTGTCAATAGAAAATACTTTTAACAAATAATAAAACATACTTACAGGCTCTGATTCAGAAGCGCCAGATTGCCCTAGCAAAGTTGGAATTGCCCCATTTTTTAGAAATAGCCTTTGTGCACAGCCGGCCTTGTACTCTCCCAGGTTCAGGAAACTGTCCTCCGTAAAATGCGCTGCACACACACGAACATTTGGGTTGTACTGTTCTGTGTTGTAAATAAATCTTAATCACTGATTCCTAATTTTATCCACTTTCGAAAGGCCAAATAAAGTGCTTTTGCGTAAAAAAAACACCACAACATGGTGCGCTACGATAACTAAGACCACACCTTTTTTCTTTGCGCATGCATTTGGGCGGGATTATGCAAATTTTCCACATAGTGACGTAAGTATCTGAGGGAGAATTCAATCTTTTCAAAATCTTTTTGTGGGAGATTTTGAGCTTTGTAATTTTGCAGATCTTATATCTTTATACATGCACAAACAATGACACACTTTAAGACATATGACCCCTTTAAGATGTTCTCTGAGGTTGCTAGGTGGTAGAACAATTGTAGGCAGCTGATAAGTGGTAGACATACTGTAGGTCTAAAGATCTTGTGGGTAAGTAAGAATTTGGGTTTTCTAGAAAGTCATGCATTTCGGTCTAGGGTTAGAGTTTTTTTTGGCTTTGCTGAGCCAAAATAACTACCTTGAATCCACAGTGGAGCGGCTGGGAGGTTTTCCTGGTGGTGGACGGGGCATGAAGTGTGCCGTGATGGTTTCCGCACTAGTTGTAGGGGTAACTGGCCGCGGTATCTTGCTCTTCCGTAAAAGTGGACTGGAGGAAGAGGACAGTGATGGAGCATCATCTCCATTACGATCGGAACGAGAACCCAGAAGTGACTCGTCATCTTGAGAGCGTTCAGAAGAGGCAGAAGAAACCTGGTCCCGCTGCATGGCAGCCATGATGACACGCCTGTCGGAGGATAACGTCGGGGAAGCGGAGGGTGAAAGTGGAATGTGGTGAACCCTCCTCTGGAGTAATTTCTCTTTAGCAGATCCAGGTGGTGGATCCACAAGGCTAGATGGCTCTAATACTGGGATACGGCTGTGCCTGGAGGCTGGAGAAGAGGGGCCGTTTCTGGTAGGACCACCTTCCTTTCCCTCCT